GGTTAGTCTTTCCTCTTTTCCTCTGGCCCACCATCGTCACAGTTTATGCTTAACGCTTCACGGGAAATAATCATAGGTGTTTGTTTCGTATAGAAGATTGATCCGTCATAATTCCATTTTGCTGATGTCTGGGGCATCTGTTAGGGTGTTCCCTTTCCTTTGAACCCTTCCGCGTTCAGCGGGTGGTTTTCGACACATCTCTTGTTCTTTAAACTGATGTCCCTTACATAGTTAATGTGATCACTCGTGCTGTAAGAATCTTACATTATCTGTTGGTCCTCACTGTGAGTCATTCCTCTTACCTGTCAAACAACCATTTTTAACAATAAGGCATGGGATAAGGGAGGATGAAGCTGTGGGTTTACACGAGATCTATAGCTGATCCTCTTGCCTCATTAGAGCTGGCGTCCAACGTTGGTCGAATGTGTGTCAAAGGCTGTATTGATCTGCCTGGTCCGATGGGTGATTTAATCCTTATCTGTTTTGTTTGTTTGTTATATTAAACGGCTCCTAGTGTTTTAAAAACATACGCTACATAGAGGCGTTTCCGTGATTTTTAGGGGACATTTCATAGCCGAAATTATCGTGCGGTCACACACTTTTTGCTTAGAATCTTGCACTATACAGATATACGACTCTATGCATGTCATAGTGCGCGTTTAAGGGACTACTTAACTTATTAACTGCCGCCGCTTCCATTTATGGTCTGTCGCCATTTTTATGGAGTATGAAATACTATTTATTTACCGATTGGTTGAAAAGGATTGACTTTCGCAGGCGTTAACGGTCACCGACAAGTTTCTACTGTTTCAGAGGTTTTTTTCGAATGTAATTGTTTATGTGGATAATAATCACTTTATAGCCACCGTATACGTCTTGCTTCGAAATTATCCTGCATTTGCACCATTGCAACCACGCTGAACCGTCATCGTTTTCCCCAAAATGTGCGATCAGTGTGGACTTCCAGATTACATGGTATTACCGGCAAATAAAAAGGAGACTTGGATAGCCATTTCTGGCTAATTATCCGTCATTAGCTACGTATACCCAACCCTAAGCGCTGCACCACCCGAGGTCGTGTGGTTGCTGCCGGGGCTCGAGGATGAATTCCAAGGCGAAACGAAACGAGTGGGCTCCATTAGTGACTAGTGAACGTTCTTCAACGATTTACAAAACACTTTGAGCATGAAATGTACTTTGGACGCTATGTTATCTCCACTTACTGAAAATCCGATATGGCGAATTCAGCTGACAACTCTGCGAGAGATCAATAACAATGGCTACCGATTCAAAATAAGTAGTTCAT